TATGTGCCGTGTGCTTCCGCAGACAGTATGAGGCTGGCCTGGATGGGAGGTTGGGTCTCGTGCTGCACCTTACAGGTGAGCACCTGCTCAGACCCCGGCCCTGACACGTTCACCAAATGCAAGCTTTCCAGGGTGTAGGTCCCATCGCTACTCTGCTTGGATGTGCGTTGCTCAGCTCCCTCGATCGTATGGCAGTTCTCCGTCCAGGTGAGATGCACACTCTGTGGATAGAATCTCTGCACGTGGCAGGTGACAACCACCAAGTCCGAGGAGGGTGAAGACTGGGACACTGTCACTGTAGGGGGAACTGACACAACCCAGAGAAAGCAGACAATTACTATATGAAGGCCACTGTGGGAGCCTGGGAATTCCTTGACAATGGGTCATCTGCCCAGGGTCTGCCCCAGAGGAGGATCCAGGTACTTGTGAACAGATTCTTGCATAGGTAAATGCATGGCTGAATGAGACTGTGCTTTGAGTGAATGCATGCTTGATGCATGGTCGGATGGAGGAATGCATGGATGAAAGAATGAATGGGCTTGATGAAAGCCTCCAAAACTTGCTCTCTCTCTCTTTTTTTTTTCCACTTTGGCCATGAAAGATGCAAAGATGAACATTAAATGCCATTTAAGAACCTACAAGTCAGTTGACTTCACTCCATGACTTGATAATTCTAACATTTTAAGATTCACAGACTCTACATCTTTGTGACTCCGAGATACTGAGATTTTACATAGGAAGGAACTAGGATTTGGAGAGGTTCCCTGTGGTGAGATTCCATCCAAATCCAGAGGATTATATGGAGTGTCTATGGCTTATGTTTGGAGTCAGGAAGCGGGCCAAAATAGATACAATGCATATTCTTGAGTTCAGGTTTGTCCCTAAACCTCAGAAAGGCCAGACAGACTTGTAGGCTCAGTTTAACAACTTTTTGGATCATTCCGTGCACACATGTAGCTGCATTTAACCTACTTGAATATCTTTTGAGTTTGGAGTTTTTCTGGCCCTGTGTTCATGTTGGTAGTTGGGTCATCACAAAGGGCATGGTCTGTCACATGGCTTCATTCAAGAGTGGGCACAGGGCCCAGACTGACAGAAGAGCCATGTATAGAATCCCAGCCTACAGGGTTGTTTGTGGATGAAGGGGCACAGTATCCGATGTGTTATGATGATTTGGTACATGTTTCAGATTTTGAAAAATGTAGTTTTACAAACCAAAGGGATGGAGGTTGTCAGACTGTACTCACCATTCACAGACACATAGATGCCTGAACTAGACGCATACCCCACATCAGGATGCCCTCTTATCAACTTCACACAGCAATAGGTGCCCATATTCTTGGGCAACAATCACTGATGCAGATGGAATAGTCTGTTTGGTTGGCCTCTGTGTTTCCACTTGGTTTACTAGGGGAAGTGCCTTCCATTGAAACTAGGCCCATTCTCCCTGGACCACAAGACAGGCCCTGCTGGGGAGTGAGCAGACACGTTGCAGGCCAGTGTAACAATGTCTCCAGCTCTGACTGACAATGAACCCTTCAGCCTGGTTCATCTGGAACTCGTTACCTGAATTTCCTGGAAAGAAACTTTGCAGCGTTTCTCATGTTCTTTGTCTTGGTCCAAGATGTTCTGAGGGACTGGTTCTGGGTCAAGGTGGGGTCTCATTACATACTCTTTTAGCAACATGTACTGGCACAGAAGGATGACAATTACAAATTGGGTTGCCATACAGGATGAGGGGGAGAGGACCAGTGTACAGAACGGGGTGGGTACCTTTCTTCTGCATCGTAATATGAGGATGGGCTGCAGCATGGTAGACACTATAATAAACAAGGGAACTTGCCGAATAACAAATGACCACAAGCTTAATGATCTAAGAAAACACATACTATTTCATAGTTCGTGTGAACCAGGATTTCAGACCCAGCTCTATCGTGCACAGAGGGAAGTTGATGTGAGTCACAGGGAGAATGGCATGTACAAGTCTGAGGACCATCTGAGGCTATGAGAGGCTAGGTAATAGGCCTGGAACAGACTGTCCTTAATACAGTTTGTAGCAACTTTATTTATAATTGCCAAGCTTGAAAGCAGCCAGGATGACCTTCAGTAGTTGAATGGATAAGGAAATTGTGGTACATTCAGACAGTGGGATCTCATCCAGTGCTAGAAGAAAGGAGCTGTCAAGCTCTGAAAAGGTATGGAAGAACCTTAAATGCTCATTATTAATTGAAAGGAAAAGCCTGCACACTACGTGATTCCAAGTATATGACATTTTGGAAAAGGCAAAACTATGGACACAGTAAATACATCGGTGATTGTCAGGGGTTAGGGTGGGAAGAGAGAAACAGAACACAGAGGATTTCTAGGGCATCAAGATATAATACTGTATACTCTGTATAATATATAAAGGAGGATATCGCTATACATTAGTCCAAACCTATAGACTATACAATACCAAGAGTGAACCGTATTGAAAACTATGGACTTTGGATGTTAATGAAATATCAGTGCAGGTTCATTGTTTGTAATATATGTACCACTCTGGTGAAGGATATTGATAATAGGAGAGGCTGTGATGTGTGGGGTCAGGGAGCAGTATGAGAAATCAGCTGTACCTTCTGCTCCATTCTGGTGTGAACCTAAAACTACTTTATAATATGGTATCTATTTATAAGTAAAAGTCATTTCCATATCAAAGATCATCTAGATTTTCTTCTATGATAGCTTCTAAGTATTTTATAATTTTGTGTTTTCCATTATATTTATAAACGCTGTTACATCTGTGTCTAGATTCAGTTTTTTTTGCATATGGACGTCCAGATGTCCAACTGTCCCAGCAACATCTGTTGAAAAGGCTACTTTTGCTCCTTTCCCAATGATCATTTTGCTGTATTTATGTGGGTGTTATTTCTGGGCTTTCCATTCTATTACATGGATCTGTGTGACTATTACCTCACCAATGCAGTGTTTCAATAACTGGAGATTTCTAGTAAGTCTTGTAATCAAGTGGTGTCAGTCTTCTGACTTTGCTCTTCTCTAGCATTGTGTGGCTATTCCGGATCTTTAATGCCTCCATATAAACTTTAGAATTTGTCAATACTCATAAGATAGTTTTCTGGTATTTTTATCTGGATTACAGTTAATTCATAGATGAAATCGTGAAGAACTTGCATTCTAACAATATGGGTCTTTCTATCCATGAACATGGCATGTGTCTTTACTTATTTAGTTCTTTTTTGGTTGCTTAGAGTGAGGTGTTTTGTTTTGTTTTGTTTTGTTTTGTTTTGTTTTGTTTTGTTTTGTTTTTAATGTTGGCTTCATCCCCAGCACAGAACCCAGTTCAGTCTTAAACTCACAACCCTGAGGTCAAGACCAGATCTGAGATCAAGAGTGTAAAATTTAACCAACTGAGCCACCTAGGCACTTCTGAGAGCTGTAGGGTTTTTTGCAGATGTTTTTAATCAAGTTGAGGAAATTCCCTCCTATTTCTAGTTTGCTGAGAGTTTTCATCACTAATGGGTGTTGGATTTGTCAAATACTTTGTCTGCATCAATTGTTATCATCATGCAATTTTTCTTCTTCAGCCTGTTGTTGTGATGGGTTAGAATGATTGATTTTCAAATGTTGGAACAGCTTTGTATGCCCAGGATAAATCCTACTTAGTCACGTATACATAGCTTTACACTTTGTGAAATTCTGTTTGCCGACACTCGGTTGAGAATTCTTGCATTTAGATTCATGAGAGATATTGGTCGGTAGTTTTCTTTTTTTATGTACAGTCTATGAGGTTTTGCTATTGAAATAATAATGGCCTCATCAAATGAGTACGGAAATGTTTCCTCCTCTGTTTTCTGGAGACGACTGTATAAAATTGGTATTAATTCATTTTTAAAAGTTTGCTAACTGGGCCTGAGTGTCTCAGATATCTTACTCATTCCTAAAACATCCAAACTTTATTCCTCCTTCCTTCTACTAAGATAATGGTCTTGGTTTCCTCTTTCATCTGATCTAACCCCCTGCAGCCATCTGCTCTATCAGAACTCAAGTCCTCTGCCCAGATAGATCAATGGCCTTAGGGAAGAGACTTCACATGCTTGCTTAGCAAGCGGAACTTGTGGGGTTCAGCTCCCGTCATTTACCTGGTGAGACCTAGTGACCACTTCCAGCTAACGTTCCCTGAGCACACAGACCTCTGCCAATTTGTAACAGTGATTCTCTTCGGATGAAGCATTTGTGGATCCTTTCCTTGCTTCATAATTTCATGTTTTCCAACATGTTTTTCTCCATTGAGAGGTGGCGTCTGTGTAGTGGTAATAAGTGTAAAACTCAGGTTTTACACTTCCAATATGGTTCACTCTTGGTATTGTATCCTAGGGGTTAAGGGATGAGAGCTCTCAGGTGTGTTGTGTTGAGCCCTGTAACCATGGGAGGTGTATCCATTATCTGAACAAAAAGGTCTGGAACAGACGTGAACACTGGGAGATTTTGTGAGCTGAGGACCATTCCAACTTAGTTCTGTAATTTCTGGCTGGGAAAGAGAAAACCCTCCCCCAAGAAGTTCTAGGGAAACAGGTAAGGAGAACAGTAAAGAGGCATGGAAGAACCCCCACCAAACATACCTGAGACCCCACTCACCTGTGAATCCTGCAGCAGAGTCAGCAGCAGGGATGGCAGAGAAGGGCAGCATAGGGAAGAAGGGACAGACATCATGGTGGACCTTGGAGCCTTCTCTGTCTGAGTGTTGTCCTGGAGAGGCCTGGGACTCTGTACTTCGAGAAGAGAAGACACTCCCTGCTTCTGTGATGTCAGAGGAAGGGGATTGTGATGAGAGGAAAGACCATGGGACTGTAACACTTTTTCTTCGAGATTATCAGTTGAGCAGACAAGGTGGTTACAAGCTGAGCAATTGCTACTGGAAATGTTTGGGGTTTCCAGAGTTAAGATCATGACACCCACAGGCTTGGCCTCATTCCGAGCCTTGTCCCTTCTGAGGTTCTCGCCAACCCACAGCCCTGCCAATTTTAGAGGCCTCAGAGACATGGTCTGGGGAAGAGGTTAGAGTTTTGGACATGACAATGGTTTGTGCTTTAGAGGATGGAGGAGACCGCAAGAAGGTGGGGCTCAGGGAACACTCTCCAAGAGGGAAAGCAACATACCTAGAAACACACCCAGGAAGGTGAGGGCTGCCTTTGCTGTCTGTGCTGGGTCCTGGGCGAGCTCGGAAGGAAGGGAGTGGAGGGATTCAAGAAATGCTCTCAGAAAGAGAAAGGAACCAGCATGCTGGCCTCCGTCTCT